TCTTGTTGTTTAATTAAAATTCTTATTTAAAATGAAATCGTTTTACAGTAGTTAGCTGAATGTCTATGTGACTTTTGTGTATCTTGAACAGATGAGGAAACTGGGAAGATTTGATTGACTTATCCAAAGTGGTCCAGGGACACTCAGGCTAGGAACTAGGGTTCAAATCCAACAACAACAGATCTAATGTCTAATGTTAGAAGTCCTGCTATTCACAATCCTCTGCTGCCTTCTTTGTCTCTTGTCCACGTACTTCAAAGTCTCCTGAAGACAGCCTGTTGTTGCTTTTCTGGATGTGAAAGGACCAGTGGAAAGCAACTCTTCTTCTCTTCTCGCATGTTTTTAATTATGCGGAGGCAGAGAGATATTTAAATAGTAGTTTGCATTAGAATTGAAAGCCAAATATGAGTTTCTTTCGTTTCATTACAAAGTTACTTAATCTTTATGTTGCTCCCTATGTAAAAGCTGAGTGGAATTTTATCAAGCAATTGCCTCAAAGTTATAATCTGGAAAATCTTTCTGTAATGAAACCCATATGTCATGGGTGAAAGGTGCAAAGCCCTGGCAGAGAGGGCTGGTCTCGTGAGAGATTCTGCACCCAATCTCGTTAACCAGGGTGCCTCTGGTAATCCCTCATCCCCTCACCGGTGAGAAATCAATCTGTACCACTGAATCTCTTTCAACCAGTCTCCAGAAAATTTACTGCAGAAAAGGCAGTTTGGGGATAGTCATTGTAGAAAGGGAGCCTGAGGCAAGGCTAAATATAAGGCAGCGGAATTGGAGAATCTAAAGAAGAGATTATATTAAACCACACACCACCTTCAGAGCAAGCAGAATAGAGTCCTCCCTTCAGCCCTGACCTCCCTGAGCATGCCCAGGTATTTACAACTGCCATGAACCTGACAGCTCTTGAGAAACTGTGAGGGGCGGAGACATAATAGAAACGGCATCAACTTGGAAGTTGATTGTAGTTTCCCCATTTGCTGCCTTTCAGCGTGTCGCCTGAGTGGTTTCTTCTTCCAGCCTCTCTGCAGCAGGTCTCCGTTGTAGAGTTCTCAGTTGATGCTCTGTGTACTGCCTAGAAGGGTCTGTAAACCAGAACTGGGCATGGAGGCCCTGCTTCCATACACCAAGGTGGCTGATGACCATTAGACCCACCGTGGCATCGTTATTAGAATGTAATTGGCAGTGATTTCTTCCTGTTGAGCCTGTAATCCTAGAGAATAAATCCAGAATCAGAAAGTTGTCAACCAATTTTAGAGACTCTAGATGAAATTCTTGGTGTCTCGAGGATTGTTTGCTATGTAACACATTATGAAAAGAGAAGAACCAGAAAAGAAAAGAGGAACTAGAATTACCAAATGAAGGAGCATGTAATCTTGCTCTGGCCTTTGTGCTAGAATGATGCCAAGCTGTTGGGAAGAAGAAGGGAGAGAGTGAGGTAGGGGAGTAGAAACAGCTTCCTCTCTTCTGTAAGCAAGCACTAGCCATCTCTAGAATTTTCCCTAAAGAGATTTGAAATCTTTGGTTTGCAGGGTTGGTTTTTTTTTTTGGGGGGGAGGGGGTTTGTTTTGTTTTTTTAGTAAACTACATTTACATATAAAACCCCTACTAGAAGGTGTGTGTGAGCGTAGCAGAAGGCTATCTCCCTGTTCCTAATGGGATTTTGTAGCAGCATGTGCGAGTTTGTTTCAGAAGTCAAAAATGAACAGATGTTGGTATAAATTACCTCTGTGTCTGATGTCTTGCAAATTAAAAGCGCGGTTGGCATCACTAAACAATTTCACTAGGTTTGGGGGGGTGCGGCTAGTGGGTGGTGATTACTGTAGCAAGTCAGTAAGAAGCTTTACACTACAGCAGAGCAGGAGAGCAAAGGTAAAGAAAAGAGGAGTAAAATGAGGGCCGTGTGAATTCATCAGAAATGTCAACATCTCTGATGACAGGTGAACAGGGGGGGCACGTGCTCTGGAGCAGCCCCCAACCCACAGCAATTTCTCTGTATACAAAAGGGGGCTGGCACTTAGGATTTGATTTATAGGGCACAGCCCTCTTTTAGGGAGCTGCCGTGTCACGCGTTCGTATATCTCCTATATAGGACTAGCGAGTAGGAAAACTTTCTCCCCTCCCATGTAGAAGATGATGTATTTTGAATTACTTCTACTTTTACGAAGGTTTCCTACTGCTCTGTGTACCTGGGTCAGGTTGGGGGTGTGGAGGAGAAATGATTGAGTGGGAAAGGGGTTGTTAAAAAAGGATTGGTTACATTTAAGGAGAGCTTGCCACTGTGAGACTTTGGAATAGCTATTTATTTTTCCTAATAAACTCTTTTGATCCCTCAAATAGATTGGGGTCTCTTTTCATTCGGATACTTAAAATACTGGCCATCTTCCCATTTGAAGGGAAGAACAGTAGACAAAGGTGAGATCTGCACGGCAGTAGGCCAGAGATAAGAACAGTGCATGTCGAAGGCCCAGGGATGGGGAGTGAGGCCGCTTCCTGCCCAGTAGCGTCTGGATTGCCCCGTGTGTGTGGTCTCCTGCCTCTAGTCACTTTGTAGGATCATTTTGTTGTGAAGTGCTGTCAAGTGGGTTCTGACTCATAGCAACCCTGTGTAGAGAGGGTTTCCAAGGAGCAGCTGGTGGATGCTTTATTCTACAGTGCCACACCAGGACTCCTTAATGTTTTAAAATCTACACTAATCACTCAAGTAGGCAGTAACTCATCCAGTAGAAACAAATGATGACACTTGCTCTACCTGAAAGGACACGTAAATTCCTGTGGGATCAGGCTAAGAGATTCCCAGGAACGGGATTTTTGGGGTTGTTATTCTCCCCTAACACCATTCATTCACTCGGCCAATAACAAGTATGAGAAAAGAAGCCGGCTGCTCAGGTACCTCTGAAAGGTGTTCATTATTGTTATCCAGGAGAAACATAGGACAGTTACCGTTAATTATGCTCCCCATTTTACAGGTGAAGGAACTGAGGCTCAATGATTTTACACAATCCAAAGTGTCACCCAGCTGCTAAATGCTAGACCAGGAACTTAAACTGAGTTCAAATCCTGTCTTCTCTGAAAGAGGCTCAGGCTAGGAAGTAATGGCTTGGATTCCTCTAGGGTAGTTAGTTTTTGACACCCTGATTTTTCCATAGGCTTTGGTTTGCTAACTGAAAGGTCAGCAGTTCAAACCCACCAGTTGCTTCTTATAAGAAAGATGAGGCTGTCTACTCCCGTCAAGAGTTACACTCTCAGAACCCTTCTGTAGGGTCACTACTGTCACTTGGAATCAGTGTGATAACCGTGGCATTGTTTCCATCCAGGGAAATAATTTCTGTTGACAAATACACAAGGTACATTGAACACAAACCAAAATGCCTGATTCAGAGACTGGAGCACTGAAGAGAAGACCACTAAATAAACTTATTTGACTGGGGAAAGGAAACAAAACTAACATTTATTGTGTTCCTACTTGGTTCTGGTGAGTTTGTATACGAGGGAGCTTCAAAAAGTTTGTGTAAAAAATTCTATATCTTTTAACTCCATTATCCACAAACGTTTTGAACTCTTTCATGTTTTCATTCTTCCAGCCAACATTTATCCAACAGACAGTATAACAGGTACTGGTGATATCTGTTGTTGTTAAGAGCCGTCAAGTAGTGGCCTCATAGCCACCCTGTAGAGTTTCCAAGGAGCAGCTGGTGAGTTTGAAGGACCGCCCTTGCTTTCAAACCGACCTTGCAGTCTGGTGCATTGTGCCATAGCACCAGAACTGCCTCGTGCCAACGAAATCGTTTGGTCTGGCCCTACCAAGGCAACTGCAGTTCCAGCCATCACAGTAGGGGTGAATTAATTAAATGTTTGACGAAATGTAGCAGGCTGATTTTTAAGTTGATAATTTTGCATGGCCTGTGAATGATGTTATAAATATCCAAATGGCCTTTGGCAGGAGAAAGGTTCCCCCAGCCCTGATCTACACCATTTGCTCTAGACTTGGGAATGGCAGTGTGGAGGTAGAAGTCTTCTCACCGCCCTAGCCACCTCACTTCTTTGGCCAGGATGGAGACATGTTCTGGGAGGCTGGGGACACAGTCTGCCCTGTGCCTACTGCGTGGTTCCAGGAGACTTCTGGGCTGCCAGGCAGGCTATCAAGAATCTTTCAGCACTATTAAATCCTTTCAAAGAGGTGTGAAAAGGGGGTGGGGGACCAAGCGGGTGTTAAGCTTTTTGAAGATTTGCTTGACTAATCTAAAACCAGGGGCTTCTGGAGTGGTTCTTATAACTCAGAAATGTTTTTTGTTTTTTGTTTTTCTAATTAATGCCTGAGCCTCAAATGGAGGCAAGTAGGTATATAAACCTTCTGGTAACTACAGCCCTCAAAGATAGATGATGCTGAAAGTCGAAGAAAGACACAAACCATGCTTGGCTATATTAAATATCCAAGGACTGGCAATGCCAGGAGAGAGAAGACCAAAGCTCTGTAAATGCTACTTTATTAATTACACCATCCACAGATGAACTGCTCTGAGGGGATGTAAACCCTGGTATGTTGCAGCATCCAGGGACTGCCACGGCTGAGGTCTGCAGTAAATGATCTCTGATTTTGATTTGAGATTATAAATGTCCAGAGGATAACAACTCGGGGAAGACCCTAATCTTGGTTGGATTTTAGCCTCTGGGAACAGACTCCCTGAGATAGCGAATGTGTGCGTATTAGGTTACATCCTTGTGAGAGTAATCGGTTTTGGAGAATTCCCTGGTGATTTTGTTAAGGGTTGATGATAAGGTCTTCCCCAGTTAGCCTACAATTACAGCAATTGCCAACTTCAGAACAGCTTTGTCAGGTTTCAGTGGGCAGTTGTGATTCATTTCTTCCCCATCTCGGAGGTTAGGGGTGATTGAATCTAGTATGATGACTTTTTTTTTTTTTTAATTACATCTCCCTATGATCCTTTTTCAGATTTTAGGTTTTTATTGATCTTTCATTTGCTTTGTGATTCCAGCCCGAGAGATGACCCGGGGAAAATTCCTCAACATTCTAGAGAAGCCCAAGAAGTAGCACCTGCTTCTGGACAGGATGTCCTGGGTCCTGGGAACTGTACTCACACTCCCTCCCAGCGCAGCTCTACGTGTGCACCTCCAGAGAGGCTGGGCCTTACCTCAGGACTGGTGCCCTCCCCTGCTCCTGGCACTCTGCGCTTCTGAGAACCTTTGGCAGCAGGAGAAGAATCTGCTCTACCCAAGAATCACTGCAGTTCAATCACTCTCCAGACTTGGATGTTCTTAGCCTTGGATGTGGCTAACACCAGCGGGTGTCATTCTTAAAGGTTAAGTCCTGCCTCCTCATTTCCAGAAGTGATTCAGGAGCCCAGGATCTTACAGTTGGTTTGATTCAGTGATGGTATAGTCAGTTGTGACATGTTGATTGGATGGGTTCTTTTGAGTTGAACTTGATCTGTTAGGAAGTATTTACAATGCGGGGAAACACAGGCCTGTCAGATTCTGAGCTAGGCCATGCAGCCTGACCTGTGAACTCTCCGGCATATACTAGGTTCTAAGAATCCCCAGTTGGAGAAACAAACCAGTGTCTTCTCAAAATATGTAGCTGCTTCTTTTTCAATTCTGTACTTCTCTTGGTTTTCCTTCCTCCATTGTATTACTCACCTCCCAGCTTTTGCCGTCAGTTCTGACTCCAGGGGAGGGGATCCTCCTGGGATTAGCTCGTCTACTGAAAGCCTCACTCGTGCAAGGTTACATCGGGTTCTAGACCACAAGGCCAATGTGACTATAGCAGAAAGAACTTTTGAGTTCTAGATAATCTGTTGCAGATTCAAGTTGGAAATCTGGCCTGAAAGATAGAAAAAAGGGCTGATTTACAGGAATCCATTTGGTTGGAAACTAGAAGACCTTAAATGTTCTGTGGGGTCACACATCACACTTTAGTACTTCACCGATCTGACAGAAATACACACGAGAAAGAGAATTTCCTGACTAACATATAACTCTGATGAGGCTCTTTGCCAGTTATCCATCCATGTTCAAACCGGAAAATCTGGTCCCTGGGCAAAATCAATTACACATGTTCTCCATTTTGTCTTGTAAGTCAGCCCCTAGCCTCTGATGTTTTAGAAGTACATGTGGCAGTAATCTGATGGTGTTTGGGCACAAGTAAAGTACCGATCAAGTTTGTGGTCCTGAGGTCTGTGCTGGGGTTCAGCACACTCCAATTGAACCTCTGGTCCATCCATACCTGTGCCTTAGTTCCCACACTAGAATCAATGGGGGAGGGGCTTTCCCCCATTTGTCCCATTTGAATATCCATGCAAGTTCACATATTGAACAGGAAAACAAACATAAGATGCAAGGATGAAGAAGGAGGAATACATCCTGCCTGGTGCTACATAGAAGTTTGGGTGGTAGAGGCTTTGATTTTTTAACTTAAGTTGACTGACATTCCTTTATCTCACTAAATGCGGTTGAAGAACGAGAGGAGAATGTGTGTGTGTGTGTGTGTGTGTTTGCACATGTGCATGCGTCGTGCATACACCCACACGTGGATATGGCCAAAAAAATAGTGCCATAATGTCAAATCCTTCCTTTGCTCTGTTTTGAGAGTTGATGACATCAGGCACTTTTCAATGCTTGGGGAAATATGGGGACTGTTCAGATACCAAACCAGAAACAGTCTTTAACCTGCAGTGACAAGGTTGGTTTTGTGGTCTGCTTTGACCGTTTTTTTTTTTTACTGTCATCATATTCACCAGCACTTAATGGAAGTAGATGTTTTAGAATTGCGATATTTATTGGTTTAATATGTGTTGTCCTTAGAAACGTTGATGATGTATTTTTATATTGATAATATAAATTTATGTACAGTGTGTGTATGTGTGTGTTTCAAGATATTAGAGGATTGTACTTTGTATGTGATGGTTTCTGTGCCTCCTAATAAATATGTTCCTTTTAGAGAGTGAGTCAAAATCTATCTGTAAACTTCCAGTAAACATGACAGACTGAACACATATACTTCTCTGCCACCTACCAAAACCCTAAGTGTGAGTTCCTTTTCAACCCTGTTCCAGACCAGGAGAAGATGATGTACTAACCAGGACTGCTTTCTAAAGTGTTCCCTTTCCACAAAGCTGTTCTGCTGCCAGAACGACATTGTCTAAGTGCATCCTTGGTTGACAACTAACTGTCCTGACAATAACAAGAGAATGGCATCAAGAATCGAGAGGACAATCCTCCCTGATGGCTTCTAGGGAGGACAAGAGAAAAGTGTGATAGTATTGTCACAATAGACCAGGGCATGGCCTCTTCCTATTAAAGAAGGCAGATTGCCTCGCATCACAGGCTCATCATTTCTTTCCAAAAGACATTTGGATGAAGAGTCTATTTCTGTGATCTAGAAGAACTTGGCTGGCTAACTGGCTGTTATTAAACAGGGGCAGTATCATGAGTGCACTGCTCTCTTGGTCCTTAAAGGTTATGTTCTAGTCACCCCACAGATTTTTTTCCCTTTACTTTTGCCAATCTGAATAGCATCCTTGCAATGCATCTATTGGCTATGGGCCACCACGTTCTGAGAAAGCATAGCACTGGTGCTTAGAGGCACATTTCCAACTTCTTATTAAAATCTTTTCTTTCCAGTAGACTCACTGCCTTGTGTGTGAGTAATTCTTTTTTTTGTAATTGTGTGTAATTACATAATTACATATGTAACAGAACATTGACCATTTCAACATTCTTCACATGTATAATTAATAATGTTAACTTCTGTGTGTCATCCTCTTCAGCCAACACCCTTACCAGAAACCCAGTGTCCCATAAGCCCTGCTTGCCCCTCCCTCCCACCTATCCCTGGTACCCACTAGCAGACTTAGAGCTCTACACTTGCCCATTGTAGACATTTCATATCAATAAAGTCATCCAGTATTGGTCCTGTTGCAGCTGTACCACTTCTTGTTCACATCTGTCTCCCAGGTTTGGAGCCACTGCTGAGTCTCCTGACTTTTCTTAACTAACAGCACCGAAAGTTCATGAGCTATTAATTGTATCGAAATACCAGCATTCATTTTTCTTTACCTTTTTGTTTACCCGTTTGCCATATTTTTAAATGGGCACTTGCCAATGGCTCCTGGTTTTTTCATTGTGTAGCTCCTCTGCCTTTTGGACTCACCCAAATCAGGGCAGTGACTGCAGAACCGTGGAAAGTCATTCTTTTGCACTTGGACGTTAGGACTTCCATAGAAGCTTTGTAATGAAGCCAAGAAATCTCATTTCCAGTGGGAGGCTTGGCTCTCTGCTGTTTCCTTCAGGATTCAGGGATCCCAGGATGGTGAACAGGCAGAGCAGGAAGTGAAGACATGGGCACATGGACCACTGTGCACTGTCTCAGGGGTCAGATTAATAGTTTCTTTCTAGCTCTCAACTTCCGCTCAGACCCCATCTCCAAGCATTTGGTTATGTTTCTGTATTCCTTACCCTGTGAGAGTCACATGACTTCCCGCATGACTGATAACGTGGATTTCTTTTCACCAGGGTGCCCTGCAAACTCCCCCACCCCCCAGAAAGTAGGGAAGCACCAGTCTCTCCCAGCTCAGAAGTTCTGATTGACTTTTAATTGACTCATCCTATCTATTTGAGATTTGGGGCACTTTGGGGATATGTCAGGAGGCCATCAGCCTTCCCGCCCTTTGCGTGATACTTTTTCTTCTTGAGTAGGGAACTGTCGGAGGCTTCAGGTGGCACCAGATGCAACCACGAGGCTCCTGGTTGGCGAGCCTGCTGGTGGAGCCTCTTAGTGAATGCAGGAACACATCAGTGATCCATTAGCTGGGCCAAGCCTTTGGAACCTTCCCCTCCTGGGGGCTCTTCCCCTTAATGAGAGCTGGAAGGGGGGCCCACACAAAACACTGCCTCCAAGTAATATTCTGCTTTGTCCCCACCAGTAACCAGGGCTGACGGAATCACTCTGTCCATTTCTCTTCTAATTAGCACAATTCCAGCATGGCCTGAGCCAGCAATTGGAGAAAAAAAAACGATCAAAAGCGATCCGACAACCATAGCGAATCTCAAACACAAAGAGGGCCATTCCCTGTAATTAGGTGAGACAATGCCTCAGTCTTTTCTCAGCTGGAGTTTGCCGCTAAGACTCTGGCTGTTTGGGTCCCAGCAACACAAGTTGTCTCCCTGAGACACTAATAAGCTCCAACTTGGCTTCCACCTCACGTGAGTCTAACCAGAGGACAGATGCAGGGAAGCTCAGGGAGGGGACAGAGTCTCCAAACAAGCAGCTGCTGCAATGTTTCCCCAACTCCAAGAAGGGAAGAGACAGTGGTTTATCAAGGAATTCAGCGCAGTCTAGTCTCCATAACTTGAAGACTACAATTCCTGTCCCCACAGAAGCCCATTCTCCACTATTCGCCTCGGTTCTGTTCATTCTGGACCTTCTGCCTATAGTCTCCTTTGGCCCCCTGCCTCCTTCTCTCACTGATGGTCTCATTTCTGGAACTACATGGTAATGCTTTGTAAACTAAAGCTCTATGTGACAATTAGAGTTAAAATCGCAAGGAATGTTACCGCATCGCCCAAAGGTGAGGTCTACTCTTAAAGATCTCATGACCTAGAAGGGGAACCTTTTCCCCTCTCACTCTGGACCTCACCCCTAACTTTCATGCTTCTGGCTCTTCCCCCAACCCCTGTCAGCTCTGCCATTTTCTCACTTTTAAGATCCCTTTTTTTATTAAAACAGAACAGTTGGTCCACCAACTGCCAGCACAAGAAGCCATAACTGGTCACGCTTCATGTGGTTTAGGGTTGGTCTCTTAGTAGACAGAAACAGCTCCCCTAGGGTTGCAGCCCATTACAGGGATTACTTGGGGTGATATGGCCGTGAACTTGGTCATAACCACAGACGAAGGAATTCAGGGAGAGTGACAGTTGGAATCGCAATGAAATTCAAGCTCTCAGCCGAGTTGGACTCGCTTTCATCTTTATCCCTTCTGCTCTATACCCAAGACTTCTGAAGGTGACCTCTAATACCAGGAAACACCCAGTTAGCCAGAACACAAAGAGCCAGTGGAGGTGGTGATGGTGGTGTGCTGTGGAGTCAGTTCTGACTCA